ATTAATTAAATGTTTGGCTGACTATACAGCTGTTTGGAGTATAACCAAATACCCATTGTCAATGGTCTTGGAAATAATTCTTGTATTTAATTATTCGTAAATAATTTCTTTTTCTTTTTTTTAGACTGCAAGTACCACGAATCGTACTCGTGTCCTGCCAAATTTGAAGCTCAGAGTTAGATCAACTTAACCAACTAATTCAATTTATAATAAAAATTGAATTTAAAGTCACCCTTGAAAATAAGAAACTTAAATACAAATTCCCTACCACAAGAACGAACAGCGCAATTTTTCATTTATTTGTTTTTACTATAATATATATTAATATAATATTTATAATATATGTAGTTTATTCACACATTTTGAAGTACAAACTAAAAATTCTTGATCATTTTAAGGTTTAGATCGTACAGTAGTGAATTACAATAACAAACATTTTTATTATTTTAATTAATCGAATTTTTAACTGACTATACAGCTGTTTGCTATATTGCATTATTGTATTAAAATTTTTGTTGTTGCAATTCTTTTTCTATATTAACCTCTCTTTCGGAAACAATAGTTTATATTAAGAATATAATATTTAAACTACTTAATAATTTTGACTTATCTGGATAGGTTTTAGAAATACAGTCTGCAAAAAATAAAAATTTTTCATATACTTTGAACATACTTTCAAAAAAACCTAAAAAAATTAGTTTTTTAAAATTATTATATACACTTAAAAATTAAACAAAAATAAATTTAAACTAAAAATTAAAAATTTAAAACTAAATTTAAAAAGGAAATATAACGTAAATATATATAACGTAAAGAGTCTGAAAAGGAAGTCTTACAGTTCTTGCATTTCGTCGTTAAAAAAGTTAATGTCATATTAGGATAAGATATTCTTTAGACCTAAATTACTAAATTAAGCTTTAAGTATAGAGTACATAATTTTATTAATTATTTCAAATAAATTCATGGAAACATTACTGGCGGGTCAATCGCAACAGATCGCAAAAACTGGCAACTCTCCATTAAAAAACGTGTTATTATTTTAAATAAAAGAATTATATTAAAAAATCTGTCAGTTAAAGCCTATAATTTGAAAACGTTGAGGTATGACTTAGAGTTAAATTATTGCAAAGAAAATAAAACTCTTCAGATCTATATAAAAAATGTTCCTACTCCTCTTATTTCTCCTAAAAAATCATTAGTAAAACAATTATCGGTTAAAAAATGTTATAATTACTTTTAACACTAGAATCAAGCAAGTACCTTACCAACGAATCTAATACACAACTACATGAGTTACCATCTACACTAGTTGGAAGATGATAAAGATTTATTTAAAAGTGACATATTATTATCTTTGTTTAGAGAATGACATAAATTTTTATCACAATGTAAACTCTATCCTCTGTGAATACTAAAAACCTCAACTTAAGCTCAAAAAAAAAACTACATGGTTTTGTTATTGTTGTTGAGGTTTAAGTTAGTAAGAGGTTTAAGTAAGAGGTTATTGGGTTTCGTCCAGAGGAAGATACAACTTCCTCTCAGAATGTAACTTATGTACTATTCAGCTTTAATTTGGACCAGAAAGTGGTGCCTAAAACCTTTTAACAAATAAAAAAAAAATTCTTTCATAAACTACATTATAAATAGATGTTTTTATCGGAATGTAAACCTTATCCTTTGTGGATACTGAAAACCTCAACTGAAATTCAAAAAAAATTGCATGGATTTGTTATTGTTGTTGAGGTTTGAGTTAGTAAGAGGTTTAAGTAAGAGGTTATTGGGTTTCGTCCAGAGAAAGATACAACTTCCTCTCAGAATGTAACTTATGTGCTATTCAGCTTTAATTTGGGCCAGGAAGTGGTGCCTGAAACCTTTTAACAAATTAAAAAAGAAATTCTTTCATAAACTATATTATAAATAGATATAAAAAATTTTTATATATTGAATATCTATTTCCAAAAAAGGATTTATGAAATATTGAAGAAATTTTCCATATGATATTTTATGAACAAATCTATTATTTGGTAAAATAAACATGCTTTCAGTTTAAAATATCTTTCAATATTAAAAATTTTCTGTTATTTTGAGAAATCTTTATCCCTGATTTTTAATCAGTTCTTAATTATAGTAACATTTATTTATGAACTATATCAAAAAATAATTATTACATTATATGATAACTAAAAATACATACATATATATGTATACATATATATATAACTAACAATATCCAGTACTGCAGACAAGGCGTCTTCAATCATTTTTTTTTTTCACTGGCTTGAAAGAGATAACGAAAACAAACTTATCGGATTTCAACTTCATCTGGAAAACCAAATGGTTTAACAAGGATAACAAAGATTAGCAACTCGCCTCTCTTGGCAAAATTTTTGAGGGCATCATAATATGCAATATATGCCTTCGAGTGGAAGTGCTGACAACTGTCAGCAGCGCCTTCTGAACCTAACCTAACAATACAAAATAAAAACATTTAAATATAAGAATTAATAATACAAATAAATTACACAAAAATTAGAGTATTATAATTCCATTATATCAAGTATTTACTATAAATATTTATAGATTTCAGGTTTTACTTGTAGTATATAAAATAATATTTATAAATCAAATTTTCTTAATGATTTCAACAATTATACAACCTCAATTATTCCATTCTACCCAGCTTTTACTTGCTAAGTTAATTTTCTAGTTAATGCTTAGAGGCTTTTGTGTATATCATATATTAATTCGACAATAAATATAAGTAGCAATAATTACTATGTCCATAAAATGTATAATTGTAAGGAATAACTGATGAAGACATTAGATAGAATATTCATATCAATGAATTCTTGAAATTCAAATCTCCAAAATGAATACGTAATTTTGCAAAATAATTTACATACATAATTTTCAAATTTTATTCAAAAATCATTCACATAACGAATATTTTGTCCAAAAAAAAATTAATTAAAAGTCAAATTTTCTTTTTTAAAAAATTATTTTCAAATGATAATAATCAAAACAAACTCCTTGATGCATTCATGAAAGCTTCCTTTTCTCTAATAAAAGATTCTCGTATTAAAAATTCCTTCAACGAAAATTCACAAGTCATTTAAATTTGTTTGTAGGCATAACGCGTCACACTTCAATTAATTTCAGAAAAAGATATTTGCATACATCTTATCTGCTAAAGATATTCATTTCCAATTTGCATTTATTGTGTTCACAAAGTAATGTTGGAATAAAGCTGATGGATTTGTTTCCCAAGTCAACAAATTCGCACCGCATGTATCAATTTATTTAACCCCAGGCCTTCCGAACGCCCAGTTACACTTAACGAACGTCTACGTGTACGTGTACGTGTACGTGTACGTATCACTCCATCAAGCCTCGTCTCTATGACATTTGTAAACTGATATGCCAGAAAATCTCGAGATGCCAACAGATACTGTTGTTTTCATTCAGTTTCATGTCAAATTGCAATTCTATTGCAAAAATGAAAGTAACGACAAAAGCGGGGAACTCCGCCTATCTCACTGAAGTGCTTTGATTAATACACGTTCAAAGGCTCTGCGATACATTTGATTCTAAGTCGTGCTTACCTTACAACCTTACATACTCGCATGCATAAGAAAAGCAAATGTCGTTATGTGCGAATGTTTGAGATTCAAATATTAAACATGGAATAGTCACTGAAATGCTCTTTACCATTCATGAATATGTAAAGATATTTCTCACCCGCCCGACAACGGAATTATTTGAATGTGTAGATACACGTATCTGCTAACATTGCATAATCGTACATGAAACCCATTGCAAACATGAAAAAATATCAGCTCAATTTAAAATATTTTTGTTTGTAAACATTTTTATTTGCAAAAAGTCATGTGGATACAGGAATTTGCATTTAAATTGATTTAATGTCACACACATAAATCTGTGTTTGCGACAATTATACACACAAAACTTAAACATTTCGGTTGAGTTTTGACAAATATGGATTTTATCTAGATACTCTTTTTATTGTTTCCCAAAGTGGATAAAACTAAATAGCTTACTGTGTGTGTTAGCGATTAGTTTTACATAATTGAATATATATTTCTATATGTATATATATCTCAATATATATGAATCGTAATGTGTACCTAAGAGATATTATTCAGTTTGTATTCATTGGTATTCTAATATTTGATTTTATTGTTAGAATATACAATTTTATATACTATACATATTAATTGTTTAAATACTGTATGTAGCGCCATCTACTTCCGAACTAATTTCTAATGAAACCTAAATAAGGTGCTTTAACAAGATATTTGTTATTTTTGCGATTTATTCTGTAATAGTATAATTCAGTATATATGGGAACCGGTTTTTGCATCCCTGGAGATCATTATAGAAAGTACTTATCTCTTTAGCTAGTAATAAGCGAAAGACACTTATGGTATACATAACTCGGTCAAAATGCCTTTTTTATAAGAAAACCAGTATCCACATGAATACTGCAAGCCTTTTTGCAGGCTTCTTTGGTCACTGGTCTATAGGAATCAATTTAGAAAAACTGCGCACCACTCCTTTTAATACTCATTGTGAAAGTTATGGAAACATCAAACATCTCAAACCATCAAACATTTCTTCTGTGACTGTGATAATATTCAGTATATATTTATAATAAATATTTATATTATTTTTCTATTAAACAAGCAGTTTTAGTTCTAGTCAAAGATCTGTTCGTGGTCTAGTATGTATAACTACACTTAGAAAAATAATTTGGTATATTTAACTATATTTTAACTAAA